ATGCAAGCACCAGGAGACCAGGCAAACTCCTTGCTGGAAATGTGAACCAAGGACCCCAACGCTGCAGGGCAGAAGTGCTAACCACTATGCCACTGTGAATATGGGGCCCTTTAAAATGATATATGTGTGCTTTCCTGTACGGTGTGCAAGGGACAATTCAGCAGTTTATATTTGTGCTCTGCCTTCTATGGAATGGCTTGCCACAGGTATGGCAGCCTATTTGCAATAGTGGTGGTGGGGGAGGGGTGGGAGTTAGATTTTTGCAGGATTTATGCAGGACGCTGCACCCAGGAATCATGATTGATACACTACACAGAGTGTTCACAGATTACATAGTAATTACATAGTTAGTCTGGCTGAAAAAAGACAAAAGTCCATCCAGTTCAACCATTAGAAAAAAAGTGATAATCCTACACCCACAGTTGATCCAGAGGAAGGCAAAAAAAAACCCAGCAAAACCTGATACAATTTTTCATTTTAAGATTTGTAAAACATATTTTATGTTGATGGGGAATGAAAACATAAAACAGTTTAATATGTATATTAAAAAACAAATGTGAGATTAAAATCGGCCCGAAACCATTCAAATTTCTTTTAATTTCCATTAGAAAGTGCAGCATCTCAAACCTCCACTAGGTGTCTCCCTACTACAGGTTATACCATACACTATATTGCCCCAAGTATTGGTGGGCCAGCCTTTCCACACACATAACCTTTAATGGCCCCCCAGTCTTAGTCCGTAGGATTCAATATTGAGTTGGCCCCGCCCTTTGCACCTATAACAGCTTCAACTCTTCTGGGAAGGCCGTCCACAAGGTTTAGGAGGGTGTCTATGGGAAGGTTGGACCATTCTTCCAGAAGCACATTTGTCAGGTCAGGCACTGATGTCGGGGGAGGAGGCCTGGCTCGCAGTCTCCGCTCTAATTCATCCCAAAGGTGTTCTATGGGGTTGAGGTCAGGACTCTGTGCAGGCCAGTCAAGTTCCTCCACCCCAAACTGGCTCCTCCATGTCTTTATGGACCTTGCTTTGTGCACTGGTGCTCAGTCATGTTGGAACAGGAAGGGGCCATCCCCAAACTCTTCCCACAAAGCTCGGAGCATGAAATTGTCCAAAATGTCGCCTTAAGAGTTCCCTTCACTGGAACTAGGGGGCCAAGCCCACCCCCTGAAAATGAAAAACACCCCCACACCATAACCCCCCTCCACCAATCTTTACACTTGGCACAATGCAGTCAGGCAAGTACCATTCTCCTGGCAACAACCAAACCCAGACATGTCCATCGGATTGCCAGGCCCTTGAGAATAATTTTGTGGGTTTTGACATTTTTTATGTCTCACGCTATTCACGCCGCAGTTTTTCAAATGCAATTTCATGGGAAAAGATACACTGTTTTTGAATTGTATTGCAACCCCCCCCCAATACATAACACATTTTTTTTTCTACATGACAAAAGATGATGTTACACCGAGTAAATAGATCCCAAACATCTCACGCTTTAACCGCTTCATGACCACCCTATGGCAGAACTACTGCTACAGGATGGCAGCGATGCGCAAAATCACATATATATGTGTGTGTGTGTGATTTTGTATTTCCAGGTAGGGGGCTCGTGCCGCCCTACCCATGCCGCCATTGGTGGCTACAGATGTTGATCACCGGGTCCTGGCCGGATATTCCCCGCCGCCACCCGGCGATCACTGAGGAACACTGACAGGGGAGAACACTGACAATACAGATCCCTCCTCTGTCAGCACCAGCATGCTGCTTTGTATGGCTCTGCACAGCAGCATGCTTACACAGTAAAACACACACACAGCGCACAGTTAACCCTTTGATCGCCCCACATGTTAACCCCTTCCTGCCCAGTGTCATTAGTACAGTGTCAGTGCTTTTTATTAGCACTGATCACTGTATTGGTGTCACTGGGGATGTCAGTGACACCAAGTCAGTTCCCCCCAGTGTCAGAATGTCATTGTAAATGATATAACTTTCACGTAAACCAATTAATTTACACGTATTGGGATTCTTTTTTTTTTATCAAAGACACGGAGCAGAATACATTTTGGTCCAAATTTATGACGACATTTGATTTTTTTAAATTTTTTTACTGAACATGTTTAATAGCAAAAAGTCCAAAATATTGTTTTTATTCAAAATCGTCATTTTTTTTATAGCACAAAAAATAAAAAATGCATAGGTGATCAAATACCACCGAAAGAAAGCTCCATTTTTGGGAAAAAAGAACATAAATATCATCTGGGTGCAGCGTTGCATGACCACGCAATTGTCAGTTAAAGTAACGCAGTGCTGTATTGTGAAAAATGGCCTGGTCAGGAGGGGGGGGGGGGGGGGGGAATCCTCTGGAGGGCAAGGGGTTAAAATTGCCATGCCATGGCGGCAAACGGCGTACATTTTACTATTCATGGGTGACACTTTAAAAGCCACTACAGGTGACTAGTTTAGAGGTCTGGAGCTAGAATTACTGTCTGAAGTTCGCGGTGATACCTCACATGTGTGGGCTGATCGCTGCTTGCATCTGTGTGGGACTGATGCGCACATTTGCATTTTAGCACGCACACAGGAGGGCGGGGCGCTTTACATTTTATTTTACATTTATTAATTAAAATTTTTATACTGTTTCTTTCTTTTCTTTTTTTTAATCTTTTTTTGATGTCACGAGGAATGTAATTTTTGAGGAAAGTTGCACTAAGGCTGCATTCACATGTTTGCGTGATGCATTTTTTTGCGTGCTTTTCACTCAGCGTGCATAGGGCAGCCAATTAATTTGAATACCAAACACGCCAAAGAAGCTCCCGCACCATTTTCAGGTGTAGAGCTTGGCACCTTCTTTTTCTGTGCGTTTTACCATGTGCAAAAATGCGTGTTCGCTGACTGCATTGGATGTGAATGGGGCCATGGGCTCCATTCACACCCAGGTGTTTTGAATCGCTGGCAGAAGCGCCTTGACTCCACCTGCGATTTCAAAAACGTTCTGCTGGAATGACAAACCGCACCACTCGAATTTTAGATGTTGTTAATTTTAATGGCACCTAAAATCGCAGTGCGGTCCTGCCGCGATCGTCGCACGGATAATCGCAGCAAGCCGCATCGCACGAGGCCTGTCTCCCAATAGAAGCTCCGGCTCCTTTTCTGGACAACAGGCTTTGCGTTGATGTGGTTTGCCACAATTGCAGCACGATTTATCGCATGACAATCACAGCAGGACCGCGCCCAGATTTTGGGTGCCATTAAAATGAATGGTATCTGATATTTGAGTTGAGCGATTTTTCATTTGGGCCGAGCGTTTTGAAATCGCAGGCAGAATAGAGGCAATTCTGCTGTTAATCAAAATGCCCGGGTGTGAATGGAGCCTTAGTGCCCGGTCACACCGCCACGATTTGGGAATGGAAATCGCACCTGAAATCGCACCTAATGAATGTGAAGGTCGGTGTCTTACACCACGGTTATATCGGGTGCGATTTTACATGCGATTTGCATGCCATGCGACTTGCAAGTCGTATGCCAAGTCTCACCCTATTGTCCTCAATTGGAGCGGTCATATCCGTGTGATTCCGACTTGGTCAGAGCCGCACTGATTTCTATAGTATTGCATGCAGTACTTATGGTGCGATTTGTATAGATCTGTGTCATGTCTTGCAAATCGCACCAGAAAATCGGTGGTCCACCCGACTTTGAAATCGTGCAACTTCACTGTAAGTCGTACGATTTCAAAGTAAGGCTTGATGTGATCAGGGGCTTAACGTGTGCGATTTGCTGCGGCGCGATTTTTAAAGTATTTCTTAAATTACTTTTTCTGCAGTTTTGTTGCGATTTCACCTACATAGAATAGAATGGAAATCGCACTGCAAATGGCAAGAAATCGCTGAAAATCTTCACAAGTTGCAATAAAGTCTTCAGAAATCGCACCTGAAATTGCACACAAATTGCATGATTTCAAAACGCAGCCGTGTGACCGAAAATCACTAATGACTGAAAGGAAAGCCTGCCTGGCTGGTATGGTCAGGGATTTTTTCCTCATAAAATAGGTGCAGGTGCCCCTCCCCCCACTTCCTTTCACATCACTCCTTGTCTGCGCCCCCTACCCACCTCCAAGCACCATCTCTATTGTTACTGGTAACAAGAAAAGCAGTAAAATAGATCCATTATAGCCAGGAACAATAGATCTCCCCATCAACAATAGACCCCCCAGCAACAACAGATCCCCCACAACAAAATACCCCTTCCCCCAACAACAATCAACCCCCACAACAATAGATCCCCAACAACAAATACCCCTGCCTCAGCAACAAGAGACCTCATACAGCAACAATAGATCCCCAACAATAAATATCCCCTGCTTCAAGAGACCTCATACAGCAACAAAATACTCTCTTTCCCCAGAAGCAATAGATCTTCCACAAGAAAATACCCCCAGCAACAGTAGACCTCCCATGGCAACAATTGATTCCCAGCAAAAAAAATAGCCCCTCCCCCAGCAACAATTGACCTCCCACAGCAACAATAGATCCAATGTTATAAAATACCCCTTCCCCCAGCAACAGTTAACCTCCCACATCAACAATAGATCCAATGCAACAAAATACCCCTTCCTCCAGCAACAATAGATCCACCACAACAAAATACCCCCTGCCTCAGCAACAAAAGACCTCTGACAGCAGCAATAGATTCCCTGCAACAAAATACACCCTTCCCCCAGCAACAATAGATCCACAGCAACAAAATACCCCCTCCCCAGCAACAATTAACCTCCCACAGCAATAATAGATCTAATGCAACAAAATACCCCTCCCCCCATCAACAATATATCTCCTGCAACAATAGATACACCACAACAAAATACACCCTTCACCCAGCAACAATAGGTCCCCAACAACAAAAAATCCCCCCTCCCTCAACAATAGACCTCACACATCAACACATGTCTGACTGCATTGTGCCAAGTGTAAAGTTTGGTGGAGGGGGGATTATGGTGTGGGGTGTTTTTCAGGGGGAGGACTTGGCCCCCTAGTTCCAGTGAAGGGAACTCTTAAGGCGACATTTTGGACAATTTCATGCTCCCAACTTTGTGGGAGGAGTTTGGGGATGGCCCCTTCCTGTTCCAACATGACTGCGCACCACCAGTGCACAAAGCAAGGTCCATAAAGACATGGAGGAGCCAGTTTGGGGTGGAGGAACTTGACTGTCCTGCACAGAGTCCTGACCTCAACCCCATAGAACACCTTTGGGACGAATTAGAGCGGAGACTGTGAGCGACCCATTCTTTCACCAATGTTTGTAGAAGCAGTCTGCATGCCTAGGGGCTTGATTGTATACTCCTGTGTCCATGGAGGGGATTGGAACACCTGAATCCAATTATTTGGAGGGGGGCCCAATACCTTTGGCAATATAGTGTGTGTATATATATATATATGGGAGACCTGTGTGTGTGTGTTGTGCATGTTGTCCCTGAAGTTGATGTGTTGAAAACAGAAGAATTGGACAAGTCTAAGGATTTGAGTGACTTTGACAAGAACCAAATTATAATGTCTAGATGACGGGTCAGAACAACTCCAAAACTGCAGCTCGTGTGGGATGTTCCCGGTCTGCAGTGGTCGGGACCAACCAAAAGTGATCCAAGAAAGGAAAACTGGAGAATCGGTGACAGGGTCATGGATGGCCAAGACTCATCTATGTGGGGAGCAAAGGTTGGCCTGTGTAGTCTGATCCAATTAGTTCAAATTGCTGAAAAAGCTAATACTGGTTCAGACAGAAAAGTGTCAGAACACACAGAGTGCATCACACCTTGTTGTGTATGGGGCTGTGTAGCTGCAGACTGATCAGGGTGCCCATGCTGACCCGTGTCCAGAGACAAAAGTGCCTACAATGGGCACACGGGCATCAAAACAGGACCACAGAGCAATAGAAGAAGGTGTCTTCAAAGTGTTGACTTGGCCTTCAAATTCTTCAGATCTCAATCCAATCATACATCTGTGGAATGTGTTGGAAAACCAAGTCCAATCCATGGAGGCCCCACCTTGCAGTTTACAAGACTTAAGGGATCTACTACTGGGGGCTTGGTGCCATACACCATAGCATACCTTCAGAGGTCTAGTGGAGTCCAAGCGGCAATATGTTAGTGCTGTTTTGTTGGCAAAAGGGCTGTTCTGGCAACAAAAGAGAACCTCCTCAATATTAGCTGGGTGGTCATTATGTTATGGCTTACAAATCAATATGTAACCAGACAGTTTTAGACCACATAGAAGTTACACCATCTATACTATTATATATAACTTATAGCCGACCATACAATTGCTATGGGGTCCAAAAGGGTCTGGTTATATAGTGATCTGTGCAAGTAGCAAAGCATTTGGGAAATCCATTTGGATACAATAAATATATTTATAGTTTGGGACCCTCGCTATGATTGCTATGCAAGCAATTATTATCCAGCAAGAATGCAGTGACCTGACATCATACTAGCAGGGAGGTTCCAGAATATCCTTCACAAGGGTTATACTGGAGAAAGAGTAGTAAATGCTTGGCATGGACTTCCAGCGGGGGTAGATAGTCAACAGGAAGTGAATTTAAACATCCTTGGGATAAACATAGATCTATACTTGCCATCTCTCTTCTATATAGTCTAGATCAGCCTTTCTCAACCCTTGTACCTCAGAGGAACCCTTGGAAATATTTTTAAAAAAAACCAATTCTTTGGTAGTCAATGGGAAAAATGTCCCCCATACAGTAGCGGTCAGAATGTCTCCCTCATAGACAACAAAAAAGATAATTGGTGTCATGCTTTTGACTGTGTCAAGTGACCTTGACCATG